TGATCTTATTCACATAATTATTTTGACCCACACGCACTGAATTACAAGGCATTTTCTTGACAACACTATTGCAGTACTATGTATAAAATGCTATCAGAGTGACTTCAAACTATGCACAAAGACTCCAAGGTCAGGTAGGCCCGCTAGACAAGTGATGTCATGATGACGTCATCAATGGTCTTATGGCACCTTAAAGGTGTATATTTTACTAATATTTTATCTAGACAACTGTAAGTCTGATTAGGTTGGAACTTGGTATACATGTATATGAACATATATACAGGGAGTCATGTAAAAGACAAAAACTGGGTGACTTCATGATGACGTCGTCTCCTGATACGTATAAATCCTAAAGGTGAATATTTTAAAGTCCCATGTCTGGAGAACTACAAGAACAGCTAATTACGTCATAGAACTACAGTATGTTCAATATTAAAATGCTCAAACAGTACATCACCCTCCCCTTGCCGCCCCCCCCCCCCTAAACTACTTTATCGTATCGAACTAGATTATATTTACCTGGTCCCTTCGATGGCAAATTGTAAGTGATATGAACTGCTCTTGAACCAACAATGATAGGGTCGTGGCTACCGCTGATTGTGCCGATGCTTCCTATGCTGGCTCCACTTCGTTGTGGGTAATCTACAATCAAAAGCAAGAATTAAAATATCCTTCAATTCAATTCAATGCAATAGTTAGAGAATAACAGTGTGAGCACCCGGTCTTCACTTTTGTAGCTTAACCGTGTGTGACTTTTCTTTTGGCGATATTTCCAAACTTTTTGTGTTCATGTTCAGGGGCCATATTTTAGTATTATGCATGATACCCTGTCTCTTCAATATGCATTATTAATATCACCCTTGCCAGCCCAGGTTTGACCACATAGTTCACTGCATTACAACTGATGTCCAGGGTATGAACTTCTGCTGCCATAGCGAACAAAATTACAACAATGTTTGTTTCATATTTTTAGTTTTACCTAATGGAGGAAGCTGAAATTTCGTTTACATACTCCTTGTTTCCAAAATTACAAAGATGCTCGGTTTAGAAACAGTTAATATGTCCATGTGAGGCGTGTTTACAGAAAATAAAACACAGATCCATGCTTTCGTTGTAAACATCCTTAGTACGAAAATGTCGTGTTAAGACTTATAATGCGCCCGCACGCCCCGCATAACAACTACATGTATAGAATGCATACACGCGCGGAAGTCTTCACTCGATGGCGGTTGAGAGCACGTGTACTGATGTATTATAAAAAGTTACCGAAGAACTGTTGTATATTTGGTCAATCATTGGCTTACATGATGCTGGATCAACGCTGGTTCAGGGGCCATTGATTCACTTGTTTTTGAAGCCTGTCTTTATATCACGTTAATACACCCCCACATGATCGAATCTCGACCAATCAGAAGCTATCAACTCTCCAAGGCATTTATTAATGGTTGATTAAAAACATGTCTCACAGTTAAAAATCAGAAATTTGTACATGTGAACATAATATATGATTTTTAAAAAACACTTATACCAAAACATAATATTACTAAAAACCAAATATTAAAATACTTACATTAAAAATAAAAATACTTTAAAAAAATTTGCGCAAACCAGGTAGGCCTATTTTAAAGTGTTTTTTTTTTAAGAACCACAAGTTCAATTCAGTTTGTTTATACCGGTATTTGGCCTGTTTACAGATACAAAGAAGATTTTTTTCCTTAAAACGATGTTGCATTCGGGTGATGTTATTATTGGATTTGTCTTTCAATTCATAATGTTTTGCAGGCCAAATACATTATATTATGAACCCAGTATGTCCAGGAGTTGGTGCCCTCATGCATCCACGCCATGAGAACTTGACTACTGAACCTTCTCACTAATTTGTGCACCAACAGTTTATTTGCCAAAAATTGTGCTCGAAAAAATCATGAAATTTGCTCTTTCTTGTCAACATCATAATAGTGTGCTTTGATAATATCCTACTGTTGGCTCTCAGGTACATGTATGTGAAAAACACCATATTTAGGAGTTTTTAAAATATTATTCAGAAGATGGAATTTGCATTGGGGTGATGTAAATCAACATTGTGTTTTTGCCCTTTACAGACGTCAGGTGCGGATCCAGGATTTTTTTAGACGGGGGGCACAACTTTGGAGAATTTGCTCCGAGAACTAATACGAGCGTGAAGCCCCTGAAAATTTGGGATTCTAGATGCTCTGTGGTGCAATCTGAGGCGATTCCTGGCCCCTTTACCCCTGAATTCTTTGAGCAAAAGCTTTTAAGATTTTAAGAAGTTACTGTGTACTTCAAAATTGTAAACCATGTATTTTCGTATTCATATTTCTTGAATTGTATTTTGGAAAAAGAATCCAATTGACTTAGTTTGTAAACTGTTGCAACAATGCGTTGGGGCATTTGCTCCGAGGACTAATGAGAGCGCGGAGCACAAATGCCTTACGGTGTGGGGTCAGGGGCCCGCTAATAAAGGGCCCCGGGAAATTTTGGATTCAAGATTCTCTGTGGTGCAAATCTGAGGCAATTCCTGGCCCCCTTTTCCCCTATAGCCCTGGGTTAAGTGTAAAATGTTTGAAGATACTTCAGATTTTTTTCATTTTCATTTCGCTTTGGGGTAACACATGTAACATGTAACACATACTCTTGTATTTATAGCCTTTCAAGTTTCTTCTGTTCTTCACTTGATAACCATGTATTTTCGTCTGCATATTTATTTTCGTGCATTTTATTTATGAAAAGGAATTGGATAGGCTTATAGTTTGTAAACTGTTGAAAGGATGCGAATAGGGGCTTCTGCCCGAGGACTAATGCGAGTGCGGAGGGCAAATGTCTTACGGTGTGGGGTCCGGGGCCGGCTTAAGGGCACCGGGAAATTTTTGGATTCTAGATGCTCTGTTGTTTAAAATACACTGTTGCTTTTACAAGCCTTTTAAGTTTCTTCTGTTCTTCACTTGATAACCATGGATTTTTGTCTGCATAATTATTTTCATGCAATTTATTTTTGAAAAGAAATAACTGTATAGACTTAGTTTGTAAACTGTTTAAGGATGCTTTCTAATGTTTTGTTTCAAGTTTAAATTGTTAGTTTATCAATAAGAACAAACCGCTTGAACATGTACATGTACATTGAGTTCAAGTTTAAAATTTGAGTATTTTAATCAAACTACCAGTAAAACAGAGGAGTAATTAGGCCTCCATGCACATTGTAACTTCACAGACCTCAATGAAAAGTGAAATGTCCCATTCAATCCCGAGAGCCCCCTCTCTGGGCTGACAGGGGGCTGGTCGGCAGTGTGGTCTCCCTTACATGTCTTAGGGACGCTGCTACGCTATATATTGTGCCTAATACCGGTAGCGTCAATGCAAAGGATGGAGGGGAAGGATGCTGTTGGGAACCAATATCAGGGTCAGGGGAGTCATAACATGCAGGGTTTACAGACAAATGTATGTGTCTCACCCGGTCTTGGCTGTAGTTGCGGTGGTGGTTGTTGCGTTGGTTCCTGCTGGGAAGGCTGTCTGCTGCCGGACTGAGTCGTTTGTTGATCATCCCTCACTCCATCAGCCGGTAGTTGTTGGGTCGGAGCTGTGCTTGGACCAGGGTTAGTTTGTGTCTCACCCGGTCTTGGCAGTAGTTGCGGTGGTGTTTGTTGCGTTGGTTCCTGCTGGGAAGGCTGTTCATTACTTGACTGAGTTTTTTGTTGATCATCTGGTAGTTGTGGGGTCAGAGCTGCCTGACTGTCTGTCACTGTGGTTACGGTAAGAGCAACCCACAAACCAAATTTGAAGTTCCTCAGTAAAGTATTTCCCAAGCATTCATGCTGATATTACATGTATTTCTATTGTTTTAGCAATATTAGTGGCCTTGACCTAGCTGTCAGCCCCAAAGGCAACAGGCCTCTTAAGACTATCAAGAACGACGGACAACCCACAAACCAAAGTTAAAGCTCTGTAATTATTCTCAAGTTATCACGTTGACAAGATTTCTATTGATTAATAGTGACCTTGACCTTTGACCTGTCAGCCCCAAAAGCTATAGGCTTCTTTAGACTATCAAGAACAACCTCCAAACCTTTCAAGTTCCTTAAGTAAAGTATTTCTCAAGTTAACTTGTTGACAAGATTTCTTTTGTTTTAGCAATAGTGACCTTGACCTTTGACCTGTCGGCCCCAAAATTGATAGGCCTGTTAAGACTATCCAGAAAAATCCACAGACCAAATGTCAAGTTCCTAAGTAAAGTATTTCTCAAGTAATCGCGCTTAACAAGAGTTAACCTAACCAAACCATGCACACACACACGCACTAGCACGTTTGTTAATGGTGTAAATTGAGGATTTTCTTTTGTTCTTCTTCCCTTTTCCTTAGTTTGTACCTTAACTTTTTCGCAACAGCTCTCATTGGTTTTGTACATGTACACATTTTCAAACCGAGGAGTACTCGATGGAGTTTGCAGAAAAGACAGACCAGCAGCCGATTTCACAAAATCTCACGTAACATTTGGCGCAACTCTGCTTGAACCAAAATTGATCGCGTAAATTGCGCGACATTTCACTTATGACACATTTCAAGAAAGTCACATAGTGCGTAAGTCCGCAAGTTGCACAATAAACTATGATGCAACTTGCACCATCATTTTAGGCGGCCTAAGTTGTGGTATAGCGACTGAAATGACATATTTTACCAGCAAATCAGGACTGTCACAGAGCTCGTTATATTGCACAACTTATCAAGGTTGATACAAGACGGACAAAATAATTTTCAAAATGGCAGGCTGAGGTGATCCAACGACTGTTTCGCAGACAAAAAAATTCACACACAAACAGCCGTTGTAAAAGCTGCTTTTATCCTCGTCCAAGATGCTTAAATTATTTAAAGCGCTGTGCAGCTGCGCCAAGTTTTGTGAAATCGATCGTAAGTTTATTGTGCAGCTGGGCAACAACTTTGTTGCGTAAGTCTTACTCATGGCACAAGCTGCGCACTTTTTCATGAAATCAGCTGCTGCCCACTGTCATGGCGCAACCAACAAAGGGTCTATAGTTAAACCTAAATTCAAGATTATTTGAAATGCTATAAAACGGACATTTTTGGGATAAGAAATATTCAATTTACATACCTACATTTGTATTTTTCTTAAATTATGGCAGAGTTTTTGCTTACCGTCGTTGAGTCCGATCTCATGAACGCCTGTTGCCTTGACGTCGCCCTCATTGAACAGCCTCTCAGCCTCCATATCCAACTTGGCTGTGGACTCGGCTAGATTCACGTCTACAATATAGTCTTGTGCAGGGGTGAGATTGTTGGGAAATGAAAAATCCACAAAATAATCAGTAAATAAATGCAATTTGGATCTGCAAACATTTTGCCTCATTTGAATACATGTCCTGAATGACTTCAAATTAGCTTCAGATTCGCGTTTACATTCAAATGTGTGATGCAATCAAGCTAAATGAGTCGTTTGTCGGCAATTATGATTTTAAGATACAGCCCAAAATAGGCCAGTAGGGGTGAAAATTTCTAAATTGACTAAATTGTAAAATCGGAATGTCTTCTTACATGTACATGTCAACTTTTTCCCCCAAGAAAATCTCACGATAAAGTATTTAAAATGTGACATTTTTGCTAAAAAAGTTCAATAAGCTGAAAAAAAGCATGTTTATTGTGGTGTAATAAACACTTCTATTTTGAATCGTTGATTTCTCGGTTTGATTTCTCTGTTTTCTTCTTTCTGCTCTGCCTGTGTTCTAAGTCCCATAACTTCTGAACAAAAGTTCGTATTCACATAAGGTTTTCAGCAAATATAAACTGAAATACAGCTCTATTCAAAAATGTGAAAAAAAACCCACAAAATTCGATAAGGGCCAACAAATGACTCATTTAGCATGATTGCATCTCATGTTTGTGCATTTGGCCTGAAGACTGCCGACCCACCTGCGACCATTTTCTCATATTTCACATCAATCTTGAGGATTTCTTGGAAAGTCGTAACAGCCGCCTCGTAATCCTTCAGTCCCTGCTGGGCCTTGCCAAGGCGCAGCAATGCCTTGACGTTGTTTGGTTCCAACTGCAAGGCAATCCGGCAGTCCTCCATTGCCTCTGCAAACTTTTCCAATTTGTTGTAAGCCTGGGGGGGGGGGGGGGTGGGGAAATAAGTGAAAAGAGGGGATTCAAATTTGCCACATAGTGAACAACGAAGCATTGCGTGTTCAACAGGATAACAGGTGTGTCACCTGGGATTAATCGTCTGCCTTATGTGCAGTACTACAAAAACATACATGTAAGATGAGTTGGCCCCCCTCCCAAAATGATGTTTTCCTTTCTTTTTTATTCCCTTTATGTGAAAACTTTTCAGGAAATAAATTAAAACGTTGCGTATCTCTCTCACAAGCCATCAGCAATGTGCAAATAGTGCACAGTACTGAACACCTAATTCCTTTCCCCTTTTCAGAAAATTAAGCCCTCTTGGTCCCTCCCCCTACCCCCCAAAATGGTTCTGGACCCGCCCCCCCCCCTCCCCTTGAGAATGGTTGCATGTGCAGTCTACAAAAATGGCAGTTTATTTCATGAACCCTGCGTTGCATATAAGTACAACGCGTTGCAAATTATCTCATATACACCACAATGCCTATACTATGTGGGCGTGAAGGGTGCGAATTTAAAACCTTGCTCTTTTTGACTTTCAAAACAATTGTTGACAGCTATGATGTGGGCTATGTCATATTTAGCACCCTCTGCTTTAACTGCAGGTGCTATGCCCCCCTCTGGTGTCATATCCCACATCACAGCAGTCAACAATTGTTCGTTTGTCTACCTTTGGGAGAGTGTGGCATACAGGTTAGGGCAGAGTTGTAATGACTTGAGTCAATGACTCGACTCGAGTCTCAATTTTTGGTGACTTGACTCAACTCAAGTATCTAAAGCAAATGACTCGACTCAACTTGAGTCACTGCGAGCAAATGACTTGACTCAACTCGAGTCCTTCATTAGAAAGACTCGAGTCCCAAAAGTGTAAGCAAAATTTTGCGAAAAATATCGAATTGACTCGCGCTAAATACTTCACTCGGCTCGACCCGACTCGACTACACACTGTGACTTGACTCAACCTTCTTGACCTAATGACTCAACTCGAATCACTTCATTAAAATGACTCGACTTGACTTGTGTCACAAAAATGAGTGACTCGTTTCAACTCTGGGTTAGGGTTATGTGTTTCATGATGAGAGGGTCCAAATCCAGCTACTGGACATATGGTGTGTCCTTGGGCAAGCCACTTCACCTCCACTTGCCTCTCTCCACCCAGGAGTACACATGTAAAGGGTATTAGTTGGGGAGCAACCTACAATGGACTGATCCAGGGGGAATAGAAATATTCTCAGCCATTTCATGAATACGGAGATAAACGCCGGCCTGATGGGCCATCTTGGCTGGTAACAGACTTGACTTGACTTGTTTACCTGTGCCCTGTTGGTGTACAGCACCACAAAGTCTTTCAGACGCTCCAGGCCCTGTGTGTAGAGCTCAACGGCTCGTGTGTAATCGCCCTTATGAAATGCTTGGTTCCCCTGATCTTTCAGAACTGTCGCCTCTGCTTTACGCTTCTCTCTGCGCTCGCTGGCATCTGCTTCCTGGGCCCTCATGACATTATCTGAAAATAAAGTTGATCGCACGTAACATAAAAGGATAGAATTTACTACAGTCATCCCCCATTAACCCTAAGGTTAAAAAAAAGTCTCCGGTTTTTGGTAAGGAGTTTGCCCCAAAAGTCTTGCGGCGTTTTTTTTTTACACCACTTTTTTTTTCTTCAAATGCTGGCTGATATGTTGCAGATGACACTTCGATCCCCTTAAAAATCTCGAAAATATGGTACTCAGTAAGGCCATAAGGCTTGAATAGTCTGCACCCACTTACACTCTCGACCGACACGAACATTCTTCGGGAAATTTGGATAGTCAAGACAAAAATCAGAGAAAACGGTAATGTCAGATCATACAGCGACATCAACATCATGCATGAGCTGCCAAGCTGGTCATTAGTCTGCTCCCTTACATATTGCGCTAATTAAAATGCATTTAAAGATTCCCTGAGATACACGACCATCGCTCCCTCACTCTGGCTTCCAGACAAACAATAACAAAATTACAACACAGTGTGCAAATGATGCCCGACTAAATTTAGTGCAAAATATATGGGTGCCCAGAGAGGCCACGTAAAGCTTATACTCGATCGTAACTCCACCTAAAACACGTTAAATTGTGCAGCAGCAGGATTCCAGTCAAACCAGTGAGTTTGGCAGTTTGGAGACATATCATCTTACATTTCAATTTTTTTCAAAAAATTTTGCAGGCGCGCATGGCTACGAAGACGCACGCGCAAACCAGAAACCGGAGACTTTTTTTTTTTTACCTAACCTCCCCAAATCCTCTTGGCAAAATGGAACATTTTGCAGAAAATTGAGGCTTTATGGCGAAAATGTGTGGCTGATTTTGCAGGATGCACTGTGTCAATGTCTTGGACTGGACCTTGTGTTGTTTATGCTCAGCCATACATATTTAGGCCTACATTATACATGTACTTGAAATCCTCCACATTGCTCTAGGATGTCACTAGCTCTGCCTCAACCAATTGACATTGATTGCTGGAGGATTTTGTAGGATTGAGGTAGTGGTCACCCCTCCAAGGACCACATAAATAACAGAGCATTTTGCAGGATTGAGGCTGTATGCAATTTTTACATGAAGGCAGTCAGAGGATTTTGCAGGACTGAGGTTGCATCCTCGCAAAAACGCCTAGGGAGTTAGGATTAATACAAATACTGCTAATACAAATTCTGGTTATGGGCTATTGAATGTAATGTCAGTATTAAACAGAGCTTTTAAGAGCTCAGTGAATAAACCTGACAATGTATTTTTCAAATCTTCTACATGTATCTGGTCATGGTCAAGGAGACTATACAAACTAGGAGTTTTGGATCATTTCTCTAAATTGTTATTTAGGTATAATGGTTAATTTGGTTTTGTCAAAATTTCACAAAATTTGATAAGGGACGACAAATGACTCATTTAGCATGATCACATCACATGCTTGTGCATTTGGCCTGAAGACTGCTGACCCACCTGCGACCATTTTCTCGTGTTTCTTGTCAATCTTGAGGATTTCTTGGAAAGTCGTAACAGCCGCCTTGTAATCCTTCAGTCCCTGCTGGGCCTTGCCAAGGTGCACCAATGCCTTGACGTTGTTTGGTTCCAACTGTAAGGCAGTCCGGCTGTCCTCCATTGCCTCTGTAAACTTTTCCAATTTGTTGTAAGCCTGGGGGGGGGGGAGGGGAATAAGTGAAAAGAGGGAATTCAAATTTGCCACATAGTGAACAACGAATCGTTGTGTGTCTTAACAGGATAACAGGTATGTCACCTGGGATTAATTGTCTGCCTTATGTGCAGTACTAAAAAACATACATGTAAGATAAGTTGGCCCCCCTCCATAATCAATGTTTTCTTTTCTTTTATTCCCCCTTCTTTACATGAAAACCTTTCAGGAAATAAATTAAAACGTTACATATCTCTCTCACAAGCCTTCATCTTCACTTGTCTCTCTCCACCCAGAAGTACACATGTAATGGATATTAGTTGGGGTGCAACCTACAATGGACTGATCCAGGGGGAATAGAAATATTCTCAGTCATTTCATGAATACGGAGATAAACGCCAGCCTGATGGGCCATCTTGGCTGGTATCAGACTTGACTTGACTTGTTTACCTGTGCCCTGTTGGTGTACAGCACCACAAAGTCTTTCAGACGCTTCAGGCCCTGTGTGTAGAGCTCAACAGCTCGAGTGTAATCGCCCTTATGAAATGCTTGGTTCCCCTGATCTTTCAGAACTGTCGCTTCACGTTTCTCTCTGCGCTCGTTGGCGTCTGCTTCCAGGGCTCTCATGACATTATCTGAAAATAAAGTTGATCGCACGTAACATAAAAGGATAGAGTCTACTACAGTCATCCCCCATTAACCCTAAGGTAAAAAAAAGTCTCCGGTTTCTGGTATGGAGTTTGCCCCAAAAGTCGTGCGGCAATGCAGGTGTTTTTTTTTTTACCCCACTTTTTTTTTCTTCAAATGTTGGCTGATATTTTGCAGATGACACTTCAATCCGCTTAAAACTCTCAAAAATATTGTTTATGTAGAGCTTGAGGTGACCTCAGTTAGGCCATAAGGCTTGAGAAGTCTGCACCCACTTACAATCTCGACCAACACGAACATTCTTCGAGAAATTTTGACAGTCAAGACAAACATCAGGGAAAACGGCAATGTCAGACCATACAGCAACATTGACATCATGCATGAGCTGCCAGTCTGGTCATTAGTCTGCTCCCTTACATATTGCGCTAATTAAAATGCATATTTACAGATTCCCTGATATACACGACCACTGCTCCCTCATTCTGGCTTCCAGACGCACAATAACAAAATTACAACACAGTGTGCAAATGGTGCTCGACTAAATTTAGAGCAAAATAAATGGGTGCCAGAGAGGCCACACAAAGCTAATACTCGATCGTAACCCCCTCTTAAACATGTTAAAATTGTGCAGCAGCAGGATTCCAGTCAAACCAGTGAGTTTGGCAGTTTGGAGACATCATCTTGCATTTAAAAAAAGTTTTTAATTTTGCTGACGCGCATGGCTACAGCGACACATGTGCAAACCAGGAACCAAAGACTTTTTTTGGCCTAACCTCCCCAAATCCCCTTGGCAAAATGGAACATTTTGCAGAAAATTGAGGCTTTATGGCAAAAATGTGTGGCTGAGTTTGCAGGATGCACTGCGTCAAGGTCTTGGACTGGACCTTGTATTGTTTATGCCCAGCCACACATATTTAGGCCTACATTATACAAGTACTTGAAATCCTCTGCACTGCTCCAGCCAGTGACATCCTGGATCCAGGATGTCACTGGCTCCATCTCAACATATGGACAGTGATTGCTGGAAGATTTTGAAAGATTGAGGCAGTGGTCACCCCTCCAAGGACCACATAAATAACAGCATTTTGCAGGATTGAGGCTGTATGCAATTTTTACATGGAGGCAGTTGGAGGATTTTGCAGGACTGAGGTTGCATCCTAGCAAAAACGCCTAGGGAGTTAGGATTAATACAAATACTGCTAATACAAATTCTGGTCATGGGCTATTGAATGTAATGTCAGTATTCAAACAGAGCTTTTAAGAGCTCAGTGAATAAACCTGACAATGTATTTTTCAAATCTTCTACATGTACAGCCATTATCTAGTCATGGTCAACGAGACTATACAGACTAGGAGTTTTGGATCATTTCTCTAAATTGTTATTTTATATAATCGTTAATTGGTTTTGTCAAAATTTCACAAAATTTGACGAGGGCCGACAAATGACTCATTTAGCGTGATTGCATCACATGTTTGTGCATTTGGCCTGAAGACTGCTGACCCACCTGCGACCATTTTCTCGTATTTCTTGTCAATCTTGGTGATTTCTTTGTAAGTCGTAACAGCCGCCTCGTAATCCTTCAGTCCCTGCTGGGCCTTGCCAAGGTGCAGCAATGCCTTGACGTTGTTTGGTTCCAACTGCAAGGCAGTCCGGCAGTCCTCCATTGCCTCTGTAAACTTTTCCAATTTGTTGTAAGCCTGGGGGGGGGAATAAAGTGAAAAGAGGGGATTCAAATTTGCCACATAGTGAAAAATGAAGTGTTGCGTGTTCAACAGGATAACAGGTGTGTCACCTGGAATTAATCATCTGCCTTATGTGCAGTTCTACAGATGAGTTGGCCCCCCCTCCCAAAATGATATATTTTCCTTTCTTTTTATTCCCTTTTATGTGAAAACTTTTCAGGAAATAAATTAAAACGTTGCGTATCTCTCTCACAAGCCATCAGCAATGTGCAAATAGTGCACAGTACTATATACTTAATCCCTTTCCCCTTTTCAGAAAATCAAGCCCTCTTGGCCCCTCCCCCTACCCCCCAAAATGATTCTGGACCCCCCCCCCCTCCTTGAGAATGGTTGCATGCGCAGTCTACAAAAATGGCTGTTTACTTCATGAACCCTACGTTGCATATAAATACAACGCGTTGCAAATTATCTCATATACACCACAATGCCTATAATATTACGTGGGCGTGAAGGGTGCATGTGCCTCGCAACAGAGTACTGCAGCTTTTCAATATCATGTATGGCACGAGCGAGTTTAAAACCTTGCTCTTTTTGACTTTCAAAACAATTGTTGACTGCTGTGATGCGGGATATGTCATGTTTAGCACCCCCTGCTTTACCTGCAGGTGCTATGCCCCCCTCAGGTGTCATATCCCACATCACAGCAGTCAACAATTGTTCATTTGTCTACCTTTGGGAGAGAGTGGCATAGATTATAGGGTTATCGTGACTCATGATCAGAATTCAGAGGGTCAGGGGCCCAATCCAGCTGCTGGTCAAATGGTGTGTCCTTGGGCAAGCCACTTCACCTCCCTGCAACCCACAATGGACTGATCCAGGGGGAATAGCAATATTCTCAGCCATTTCGTGAGTACAGAGATAAACGCCGCCCCGATGGGCCATCTTGGCTGGTAACAGACTTGACTTGACTTGTTTACCTGTGCCCTGTTGGTGTACAACACCACAAAGTCTTTTAGACGCTCCAGGCCCTGTGTGTAGAGCTCAACGGCTCGCGTGTAATCGCCTTTCTGGAACGCTTGGTTCCCCTGATCTTTTAGGACTGTCGCCTCTGCTTTACGCTTCTTGCGTCTCTCTGCGCGCTCGCTGGCATCTGCTTCCTGGGCCCTCATGACATTATCTGAAAATATTAAGTTGATCGCACGTTACATAAAAGGATAGAGTTTACTACAGTATAATCCCCTATTAAACCTAAGACCAAAACAAAGACTCCGGTTTCTGGTATGGAGCTTGCCCCAACAGTGATTCAGAGGTTGTCTGTTCAAATCTCACTTTGGTGAATTTTTTTTATATCTGCTTAAAAAAAATTCAAAGATTAAAAAAAGAGATAGGTCTTGTTTGTCAACGTTGCTTGGCAGATAGCACCGAACAAAATAATAAAATTTAAAACTCATTCTGATTGTGATTGATTGCTCTGTCTCAGATCAGAATTAGAAATATGCTGACTCAGGGGATGGGTAGCAGGAATCACATGTAGTCACTTGGGGGTTACTTGCTGCACATGCGCAGTGTGAGACATCCACTAGTCTTCGCATGTTGGCGACATTTTACCAACATATTCTGGCGCTATGGTGGCATAAAATGTCCACAATTTCCATTATGTGAGTTTTCCCAAAGTTATACCCCGAAAAGATATACTCAAAGTAAGTTTCCAATAAAACTCACCAGATAATCAACTGGGCTACATTTCTTTAAAAGGAGTATTCGTTGCTTTCTTTTTACCATGCAAACTGACCGTGAATTATACTGATGAAGAGCAAATCAATAATTGTGAATAAAAACAAACTGTAGCTCCCTATTAATCACCTGGAAGAGAACATTGACATTGCTGGCCTCACTTCCATAGGTCTCCCTTATTCCTAAAGACTACTACATCATTTGAATACGGAGCATCAATAGACCTATTGAAGCAAAAATTAAAGTAAGAAAAGACTGATATGTCATGCCGTATTTAAGCCTTATTAAGGAACAAAGGCTGATGGCGTTGAGTGGGATTCCTGGACACAACGAGACAAACTAAGTGGAAGGCACAAACATAAGTGGAATGTCTTCATCTGCTGGTGAATATGTCCCTTCTAAAATGGAAAAAAAAAGAATACAGATTGGTCTCTTACCCAGTCACTGCCAGCTTTATTAGGTGGCAAGGATTTAAGCGTTAGGCCAACAAAAAATAATACTTCTGCTTCCTGTTACCCGACCGACCCTATTTTTAGGCTGCGACCCTAAAAATGTTATCGGCAATTCCAAAAAAAAATTAATAATGATTGAATAAATAAAATTAAAAACCTGTTGTCTTTTCTGTCTTCACAAAATACCTCTTAACAAGCCTTTTGCATCAAAAAAGTGTTTGTATATATTTGTTTTCTTTAATACTTACATAAGCTATTGTTTTCAAAAGAAACCTCCTTTATTTTGACAAATCTGCTTCGCGATATAAGTACTTCGCAATTCGATGTCAGTCACAGTGACTATGATCACCTGCGTAAACCTAGCTCAATGGGGCAACAACTGGTTCCCACTGCGCCGCGCCCAATTTAGAAGACAAGATGAAAATGCGGTAACCAGTCTGTCATGGCTATATGATTGATAGCGCTAGAATATGGATATATGCATTGCAGGCACGTGCACTGTCAACTGGTCAGATTCGACATCGTAAAAATGCCAAGAAAACACCGATGGAGAAAGAACATTTTTGCAAGTTAATTCACAGAATTGATCTAGCTTGTCTGTGTATGTATTTTCCGTGTTCAAGAGTTCATTTTGAGATCGCACTACTCGTTTTTGGAGTGATACAATGCAGCGTGTTTCCAAAATTTTCAACAGTAAAAACGAGGTCTGTTGGCTGCGCACCATACATGCACAGTGCATCACACACTTCAGAGTTTTAGCCAGCTTCCCATCTTGACTAGCATTGTGCATATGGTGCGAACGACCTGAATTTTCCATTATTTTTATGGAATTATCGAAAGTAAATATATTGACAATAATTATGGTAGGTTTTATTCACTTTCAGTGGCCATTCACTTTTTGTGTATAGCTTTCGTAGTGCAATGGAAACAGTTCAGGCTAAAACTTCGCATATAATTGAATACCCCATTCAATCGGTATAAAAACAAATTGGCAAAAAAACCCAAAAAATTCCGACCGACCGACCTGATTTTTGAAAGGCATGTAATTGGAAGCAGAAGTATTTTTTTTCGGCCTTAACTGTTAGAAGAATTGGACTAGAGTGACCTTATCTGT